ATTTTTGCATCACATATGTCCTCAATGTAAAATAAAATACTGTCTACTTACTTCCAAAAACAACAAACGCAGTCGATGATAAAAGTAAATATATATTTTTAACGTGTCCTACTATAAAATATATCTCATGAAATTCTTACATTTATTATGATGTAAAGAAAACTTCAGCTCGTCTAGTAGAAAACTGTTTCATTGTAATGGAAGTAATTGTTTCAACAGTTAGCCGTATCATTACTCAAACAACACACACACATAGAAATGCATGCCGCACCAACACACACCAGTATAGACACACAGGTAAAGGTACACACACAATTAGAGATGAAATTGCAAGTCGTGTGAAAGCATCGTTGATGTCCAAACCCTGGAAAGCTATCCAACAATTAATATATCAATAAATTGCTTTACACATTAACTGTACACATGACAGCAAACCAATATATTATGTTCATGTGAATGTAATTATGGGTAATCTGCAAGCCGCTTCGCCAACTCTTCTACAATATTGACCAGTCCTCTTCGATTACCCCACATGTGGTGAATAGACTAGCCCACATTTATAAGCCACACAGTATTAATTAGCAACCGTGTTATTTATCTTGACAAATATTCAGCTGGAAGGAGACGGGGATCAAATACGAGAGATCCGACCTCAAAACTCTGCGTCACCCTGAAGCCACGTGATGCTGAGGCGGTCTAGGAAACATGTGTGACTCTGCTGTTCACACATTCACTGGTTTACTGCTGGTCCGTCGCCATCAACCCACAGAACTAGCTCAGAGTCATGTGCCAGAGCTCTCTGTGCACACACATAGCTCGCTATAGCTGTAGGCTCCCAAATACTTTCCACCGGTGTCAGAGAGGCCATCCAAGATCCACCTCAGACTTGAGATCTGCTCTCCTCCTGACCTTGTTTTGTCTGCTCTGTCCTCTGTCGCACCCTTCTCAGCCTCACCCTCCTTCTGACTAATGGATTAAGGTAATTATGACACGGCTGTGCCCACATTCTGCTGGTGGGGTGAAAATTGATATTCCAGCTTTGTTGTTCTCACTAAACTGTTGATGAAATTGCGTTGCCCCAGAGCGATATCAGCTCTTCACGTTCAAGTCTTTGTTTTAAATTTAAAAGCTGCTCCGACAATGAGTTTTTTTTGTCATGTTTTAAAGCTTTGAGAATTCATCCTTTCAGCTACATTGCCTGTGTGTTTGCAGGTGATATCAGCTTTCAGGTATTCACCAATCCTGACATGGATACAATAATAGGCTCAGGTTAGGGGCGACTTACAAAAGTGTTGGAATGCAAAGAGGCTGATTAGATGGCCTTATCAAGCCCTGTCTGGAACTGAGCAACACACACACACACACACACACACACACACACACACGCACAGACTCACTGACCTCTGCTCTTTCCATTGAATCACCTCTATTGCTCTCAAGAAAGGGGGCGTTCAGACTGATACCAGCTCTAATACTGTGAGAAGATTACTGACAGATGTTTTGAATATCTCTACACACTTAAAAGTGAAATGTCACTAGAGACAAGCAGTCAGTGCAAAGTTGTGTGTGGACTTGTTGCCATGCCATTATGTTATGCGTTGTGGGTTTTTCCTTCAGCAAAGTCTGCAGAGTTGCAGACTTATGGAAACTGTTCATATATGGCCCAGAAAAATCAATCGGAGAGCCGTCAGACACTTTCCAATTTTCCAAACAGAATGACCACACTGAACTCTCACAGACTTATCAGGAGTGCACGTCAGAGTGTGTACTGTTACAGGACCTGATCACACCTAAAGACAGATCTTACCTCTGCCTTCTGTAAACTGAGTATGTCAATAAATCAACCAGAGGCTGTCAAAAAAAGAGGTTTCAATCCATTTTAGACTGACCATAGATGTAAAAAAAAAGTTTTTTAATAATAATATGATGCTCCACACTAACTCTTGAGGATGTTTTATGAGATTTTGGATGTCTAAATTCAGTCAGTGACAGATTTGTCATTTCAAATATAACACAGTGGTTTTGATACAATGAAAATGCACTTGTATCATTTTGTAAAATCTAAGTTTTGACTGAGTAATTCTGAATTTTGCGGAGGTTAGGGCACCGAACCTTATCAGCAATTGTGACGAGAACTCCAGAATCCTACAGTGCTCAAACAACACACCTCTGTATAATGTGACTGCTTCTGTTTAAAAAACCTTTCTATTTTTTTACCAATTCTAAAATAAACATGATTGGCCCTTTTAATAAGATCGCAATCTTTCACGTCACCTCATCACGTGAACTTCCTGCTTCCTGTTTCGATAGGTTCTCTTCGCTGCAGCCCATTCTCTCTCTCTCTCTCTCTCTCTCTGTCTCTCCCTCTCTCCCTTTCTTTCTCTTTATGTAGATCTCCCTCCGCTCTGCATCATCAATAACTTCAAAAGCACAAAAGCAGCTAAATTAGGTCCGCCACTTTCTTCTGTCATGACTAATGAGCTCTCCCTGCGTTTGTGTATTAGTCTCGCTCGGCTGTGGCCATACCCCAGGGGACAGGCCACTGCTGTGCCTTCCAGTGAACAGGTAAGCCCAAACAGATGATACGGCCACAAAATGGAAATAGAAACAATAGGCTTCTGTCTGAATTTGTTTCAACCACATGCAAAGTGTTGTGTTAACACACTAACAGATGCATGTAGTTATCCCTTTTACAAACATTAAGTCACTGCCAACAATATTTTTGTGTTGGGTTTAATTTAATTTTGTGTTTTTACAAGCAAAGAAAAATAATTTAAACCATTAAATTCCATATTTCACATTTGTAGCTTCATTGTGATCTGTATTCCTCAGTTAAAATTCTGAAATATAGTATTGGTCAGTGTGTCTGCGCATTTGCTTTAGCAATTGGGACACCAGACAGAGACAGACAGAAAAGACAGTGTTTCCACTCAATTTCGAAGAGGGAAAACTTAAAAGCCACAAACTGAGCTACAGTTTTTGGACAAGTGCTGAACTCCGTATGGTTATGAAAATATCTGGCTGATAGTCTGGATCGTCTTCCATCGCTCCTGGCAGCACTGATGTGACTGATTTGGTCTATCATTAAATACTGTGCATCCAGGAATCTAAAAATACACATTGTTGAAACGATGAGATCATACACTTGGAGAGAGAGTTAGAGAGAGAGAGAGGGGAGAGAGGGATAGGGAGAGAGATATAGACTATCATTATAGGCTTTTGTCACAGGAAAGAAATGGTTATTTGTCAGCAACATGTCAAGAGAAGCCACAAAAAATCATCACTCCGACTGGCCGGCATGTCCAGGCCTTATAGGATAGCTTACATCACTCTTTCCCCAAATTGCATTATAATTGAATGAGTAAACTACCATGTGTCATCACTTAATTGCATTTTGCTACTAATGCTGGTACAATGGGGAAGTCAAAGTTAAGAGCATAAATCCCATGCTAATGTCATCCTCGTGGATGAATTCAGGTTGGGATAAAGCTGAGTGAATTAACATTACATACTTCTGGTTGAGGAATTTGATCATAGTTGTACTCACAGGCCAGATTGTTGAGACTGTGTAAGTATCAAACAAATATGTCTGTTCTGTTAATGTCAAATAAAAATAATTTTAAAAATATCACAAAGCTCTCTGTGACCCCCTTACAAATAAAATATTCTGTTGAACACATCTACTTCCTGACAGAAAACCTGCCTGATCTATATGGATAAACCCATTATGACCACTTAACTAGACAGGACACACAGTACTAAGAGAAAGCAGGAATACCCAGACTGCCTTATGTTATTGTTGTACATGGATCAATTAAAAGTAGCAGACCTCTGAACTGAGAGAAAGTGCAAAGTACGAGAGTGCTTTATACGACTCCACTGCAACGCCTGGGCCGCTGCTTATAGATAAAGTGATTTTTATGGCTGTGCAACATAATATCAGTTTGGATGGAACACTGGGTTCACTGGCATTCACTTCCACCAACATGATTTCTTCCACACAGCCAAGGTTTGACTTTCTTACGTAACCAGTGAAAGTCACAAGGAGCATTTCCCTCATAATAAAAATAAAGAAAATAAGGACACACTTCATTTTATATGTTTGAGTTGCAAACAGCAGGTTTTTTCCTTCCCTTTATAAGAACTTTGTATTGTTTGTGTGGAATTTGTTCTCTATCCCAGTGACTGAGGGGGGAATCCCATGCACGAGCATGACCAAAAGGTGGCAGTGTTGAGTTTTACAATGGTGCGCTAAAGCATGACAGATTTCCTCATTCCACCTGTCATATTGTTGTTCACTCGTCTTTTTGGTTACTACTGAACATAGTCAACGCATGTCACTAATGTTTCATATTGTTGTTTCAATAGAAAATACCAGCAATGTAAAAATCTGTCATTTATAAATTGAAGTGATTTTTCTAGAAAATAATCTAAATTTGATATTTTGCATTAGAAAAATATTAAATTAAAAAATATTTTAAAAAATACACAATTAAGTACCAATTTAATGTTCTGATCAAAATAAGAAGTCAGGACTATGTCTTTTATATAGAAATTACAAGAAAAAGGAGGTATTTGTTTATCTATGTATCCATTTATCTATCTATCTATCTATCTATATCCATCTTTCTAATCTTTCATTCTTTCCTTCATTCTTTCTTTCTTATATGTTTTGTTTTTTCTTTATTTTCCTCGATGCTTCACATTGGGACATCGTGTCCAGGTATCTACATCGTGCACGCTCCACTTCATTCCACTAAAATAAAAGATAACCCGGTGCATTAAATGGTCGCTGGGTTTAGGAAGTCAGGTTAGAGAGCAGCAGTCAGAGAGGCTGGCAGTCAGCTGATGGCCTCTGACAGTTGAGGAAAGTTTGGTTTCTGCAGGTTACTAATATGTTAATTAGCTCTCGCAGTGTGCGACCCTATTGGCTCTTCGTCCGAGTCAATTTCCCATTTGCAGCCTGACGTCAGGGCCGCTCCAAAGCTCTTAAACTCATCTGCTGTGTGATCCCTCTAAAAAATCGCCCCACCAGTCAGCGGCTTCCAACGTGCGCGGCTGCCTCTCCCTCTCTCTCTCTCGCCGCTTGCGCAATGTCTCCCTGAAGAAAAGCGTAAAGTGTTAAATGTTTGAAACACAAAACCGCCGAGTTTCACATGCTGAAAAAGGACTCCGCTGCTCGTGCGCGCGGCACCGCTGTGTCCGTGCGTTAGACTTCGCACAGAAAAACTCCTGCGCTCTGACGCCCGCGAGTCCGCGGCTGCACCCGGGGACGAAGAAAAGCTCGTTTTTCACTCTCCAGACAAACGCGTAAAAATCAAACTGGCTCACGTTGTTCCCAACCAGCCCAGTTTGACAGCTGCTCTTCACCCCGCTTGGAGGACTGTCAGCAGCAGCAGCAAGAGGATGGCATCAGAGCTGGCAATGAGCAACTCCGACCTGCCCACCAGTCCCCTGGCCATGGAATATGTTAATGACTTCGATCTGATGAAGTTTGAAGTGAAAAAGGAGCCGGTGGAGCCCGATCGCAACATCAGCCAGTGCAGTCGCCTTATCGCCGGGGGATCCTTGTCTTCCACCCCGATGAGCACGCCTTGCAGCTCGGTGCCCCCTTCCCCAAGCTTCTCGGCGCCCAGTCCGGGCTCGGGGAGCGAGCAGAAGACACACATAGAGGATTTCTACTGGATGTCCGGTTACCAACAGCAGTTGAATCCAGAGGCGCTGGGCTTCAGCCCCGAAGACGCAGTCGAGGCGCTGATCAACAGCAGTCACCAGCTCCAGTCGTTCGATGGCTATGCCAGGAGCCAGCAGTTCGCTGGCGCTGCCGGAGCAGGAGGCACCATGGCCGGGGAAGAGATGGGGTCCGCCGCGGCGGTGGTGTCGGCGGTCATCGCTGCGGCGGCGGCTCAGAACGGAGGGCAACACCACCACCATCACCACCACCACCACCACAGTGGCGGCCACCAGGGGCCCGGCGTCCAGAGCAACGGCATTTCTGGCACAAATCACCCACACTTGCGCCCGGAGGACCGGTTCTCGGACGAGCAGCTGGTGACCATGTCGGTGCGGGAACTCAACCGGCAGCTACGGGGGGTCAGCAAGGAAGAGGTGATCAGATTGAAACAGAAGAGGAGGACCCTAAAGAACAGAGGCTACGCGCAGTCCTGCCGCTTCAAGCGGGTCCAGCAGCGGCACGTCCTGGAGGGAGAGAAGACGCAACTCATCCAGCAGGTCGAGCACCTAAAGCAGGAGATCTCCAGGCTGGTCCGGGAGAGGGACGCGTACAAAGAAAAGTATGAGAAGCTCATCAGCACCGGCTTCAGAGAAAATGGATCCAGCAGCGACAACAACCCTTCATCCCCGGAGTTTTTCATGTGAGTCTCGGCATTATCGTGAAAAAAAAGAATATCAGTTGAGTTACTCACCCCCGCTTAAAAAGTTTTCATTATGAAACTTTTTTTTTCATTTGACCCAAAGCCCATAGACCAAGAACTAATGTGTCGACTTTTTTTATTTTATACATTTTTTTGAAAACAAGACTTTGGAAAGCTCTATTAATTTTGAAGAGGCATATTCAGAAAACTTTCATCTACTTTTTGCTGTCATACTTAGTATTTTAGCTCATAGCCTGTCTGTCAAGATGTTTTCATCGTTGTTCATTAGATTTGCGGTGTTTATGATTTCTTCAAAGTTGATCCATGAACTTTACGCAGCAGTATACGAAGTGTGCATGCAGGCGCTCGGTTCATCAACGTGTTTTTCTCCATCATCTCACTTTGAACTCAGTGTACAGATCCCTGTCTAAACTGCATCCATCGACAGAATGCTGTTTTATTTTTTTTTTAGGGGGGGTGGTCTTTTTTACCTTTTCTTTTTTTGTCTGCCAAACTTGGAGGATTGCGAGCCTGCAGCCGTATTGACGCCACCTCATCTCATGCTTGTTATTGTGTTGAGCAACAAAAGACTGTACTCATGACAAACTGTTCGTTGTTTTTTTAAGAGATGTTGTTATTGAACTGAACCTGCATGCTGGACATGTATGGTTTTTCTTTTTTTTGTTCTTTCTGTGCTTGAAGATGTCCTTTTTTGTCGGGTGACTCCAGCATGGCATTCATTCATTTATGGCCTCCTCACTTTTTTGGGACTTGCAACAAAAAAGTGACAGGACACCCCCCACCCCCCACCCCCCACCACACACCACACAGACACACGCACACACACGCACACAAGCACACACACACAGAGCCCTTGCAACCTATACAAGTGCATTTCAGCTGTGTTGAAGCGCACCACCATCGGCTGTCATTATACAGGCTGCAGTGAATGCGCAATATGCGTCCACTGCTGGAAGTGGATCAGCGGGGATCCTGCATGGTGCGAGTGAGGGGGAAAAGGAGGAAAGACTTCACTGATAAAGGAAAACCACCGATCCCTTTCTGTTGCTTAAAGCCTATATGTTATTTAAACATATTCCATTGTGCATTTGTCAACCGTTTTGAATCATTTTTTAAAGCGTAATTTAAGTGCAAAAGTTTTACAATCTGAGTCGCAGGAGATGACATGTGTTACAGGTTGATGCGTAAAGGCCATTAAAGAGGAGCCGGACGCACATGAAGTATTTTTTAACATTGAGAGATTGGCTCGTCTCCATATTGTGACAGTGCGTGAACAGCGATTTTGCATGTGCTTCAAACACAAGTGATCTCCGCCACACGTATTTAAAAGAAATCAACTCTCGATGGAGAGGGTCACTCTCACAGATGAAATCCAAGTAAATCGCTTTTTCTTTTTTTGGGATTTGTGTTTCTCCAACGAACCGACACATTTGGGACTGAAATAAATTTAGAGAGAGAGAGAAAAGAAAATGTCGCCTGTATGTAGAAGTTAAGGAAACGATATTAAAGTGCACATGTCAAGGAGAGAAGAGGCATCTGTTACGACCTACAATCGTAACATTTTGATACTTTTATTATTATTATTATTATTTTTATCGGTTCAGGAGAAGGTTGTTTTGTCTTCAGCGAACTCAAAGCAATAACAATTATTATAATCGATAATGTCTGGACATTGTTAGATGGTCAGGGATTGACACCCTGCATGTATAAAAAATGAGGAGGTTTACCATCCGCCAACAAATCTTGAGAATATGTTAATTAATCTTTCATCTTATATATAGTATATATATATAAAAAATATATATATTTTGCTGTGCAAAATTATTTCACTCACTAACCATATGTGATGTTCATATGTGCTCGTTTTTTTCATTTCATACAATTAAATGATATGCAATAAATGTATGTAATTGTCTTCAATAAGTTTCTCACTTTTTCTTTTCACTTGTCCTGAGATTTTGCTTTTTCATGCTTTTGTGACTGAGAGAACCCGAGCTGAGTGGAGATGACTGCACCACATTTAATCTTTATATCGCTCCTTTTCCTGACTTTTCTCACAACACTCATTTCATATTTCGCAGAACCAGAAACATGTTTTTTTATTCTTCATAAAGTTTTCCACACATTTACGCAGAACCATTACGTAAAAATAACGATTGGAAAGCAATTGCGGTTGAGACTGTTCAGTTCGACGCATGAGTGAAAACGAGTCCGGTGTCACAGATAAGTTGATGAAACCACAAGAGTCAGACGCGCAGTGGCCTACATATGAACTGTCCTGACACTGTCTCATACAAGTCTCACATTTATTTTTCTATTAAAAAATCCTCAAATGAATGAATGAATGAAAAACTATTTTCATGATCCTTAAACGTTTCGTCATTTTCACACCATCCCCATTCAAAATCATCTTTATACTCAAGTTATTGTGTGCAATGAAATATTGTCTTTGTATTTTCTATTTAACAGATTTAGATCCATGAATTCCATCCTCATGTGTGCTTGTGGTTTAACATATTACAGCTGTTAATTTATTGTCAAATGTGACCTGTGATTTGTGTGTGTGTGTGTGTGTGTGTGTGAGAGAGAGAGAGAGAGAGTCCACCCCCCTCTCTGCATGCTTGTGTGTGTGTGCATTTGTGAGTGTGTGTTTTTCCACCAATAACAGTATGGAAGGATAATTTCTCTACCTGTGCCTCTCTTCTGACTGCATGTTTTCATATTTGCACCTTCCATTTGCCTTTTTTCATATCGCTTGCTTCCTGATGTGTGTGTGTGTGTGTGTGTGTGTGTGTGTGTGTGTGTGTGTGTGTCTCTGTGTTTCTCAGTCACTGTGTGCTCACTGTCATTACCATGCCATCATTTGGCTTTCCCAATTTCACCTCGCTTTATCCCGTTTGTCAGTGGGCCTGGATGTTGGCCTGGAGCAGACATGCTCTCGGAGAGAGGGGTGAGGTTGGGGGTGTAGCGAGGGCACAGTCATGTCAGGCATGTGAGGGGGAGCTGGAGAAGGTGCCAATACAAGTCAGCTGCTGCGGTGAGCAGAAGAGCCTCAGCACTGCTGTGCCCGACCTTGCATCTCAGCGAGCGTTGGGACATCTCATTTTGACGTCTTTCAACATAACTTTTTCACTGCGCTGCTGCACCAACTGAGGAAAAAAGGCCACTTCTCAAAAGCAAATGAGGGAAAATTCTTTTGTAACTTCTGGGACAAGGAATACAGCCTCGTGGGCATCTTGTTTCACTGTCCCAGAACAATTTGTTTGTTGAAACAGGAAGACCAACGTGCCAAAATACACTTTGAAAAAAGGTTTCTGAGGACAGATTCTGTCTGGATTCGTCAGCTTTTTGCAACTTAGCCCCAGTTAGGGTCGTGCAAGGATGTGAGCAGAGGACATACACAAAGGCACCTTTCATAGAAAATGACCACACTGTCACTGCGTTAACAAAGCACGGAGTGATCAAGTGTTCTTACACTAACAGAAGACTTTGCAGTTTTAAATTTTACACTTGTTAAATGTACAGAAAAGCCACTTTCCGCACCATCTGCCAGTGATGATTTGCTAAATGGCCTGTCAGAAAAAAAGAGACAGTTTGAACCCAACACTTGTATCCCACTCTGTTTGGTGTGATCTCCTCTGAGGTGCATGCTGCTGCTGTGGTGGATGATTTGCCCAGAGTGAGGGGAGAAGCTGAGACAATAGGCGGGCTCGGGCTGAATTAAATGATTTTGCTGATGATTAATAGTGGTGTGGGCCACTGGCTCCTGTGATGTTGAGATGATAAATCGTGAGTGCAGCTCCATGCAGCTGTGCCAGTGTTGGGTCTTTGCATGCACACACCATGCAATTTACAGCCAAGCCGCTCTCCTTCTTCCTCAATTTATCTAATTACATCTATTTGATCTGAGCTATAGTGCTGCTCTGTTTTGATATTTCATATTAACTACAACAATGTAATAAACAACTTCAAGTGGGATAACTGTTTCCTTTTCCCCTCTTTAAAGAATACATTTCTTTACTTGCCATATTAAATGGAAGATCATTTTCTTCTTTATTTGGGAATCGGGCTGTGCTTCTCTAAAGGCAGTGCATTTGTGTGATGTGTTTTTATTTCATGTGTTTTGAGTGGAATGTGTAAAATGAAATTAGGGTTTCTGTTTAAAGCCGCCTTGTCTGACTCTTTAGCTTGTTTATTTTGATTGTTTCCTCATTGGGAGTGATCAGTTTAACTGAAAACACGCAAACCACATAGACACTAGAAGTGAAAACACACTTGCCGGCCTACACACACCAGCACAAACACAAACACACACAAACAATAAATGTTCCTGTGCAGATTTACCCTCACAGCATGACATTCCTCGCATTTCTGGCATTTATACGACTCAAATACTTAGGTCTACGAGCTAAGTGACATTTTGCAGATGTAATTTGCAAAAGATGTTTCCCCTCTTATATCTGTGGCACCGATGCGCTATGGTTACGTAAGTGATAAATCTATCGATCTTGCAATGATGCACTCATATGGAACGTTGGCCCTATGCAGGCTGACAGCATAAGACACAGCACGGCACTCACTCAAGTAGCAGTACACCAGTTGACAGAACCAAAAATAAGGGCTGGCTGGGGGCAGGAATTCGAGTTATGATGGTGCCAGAGGAAGAGATGGAGAGAATCCATTGTGTTGCTGTTTTGTGTGTGATTGTGCATCTCTTAAACTCATGAGGTCGATTGGTGGCTATGTAGAAAAAAACGTGTGCTCGAATGTGCGAGTGTGTCCGTGCATGCATGTGTGCCTCTCTTGTTGTCTTTTGGGGAAGAGGATGAGCAGAGGTCAAAAGTTACAGCGCACAAGGCTGCTCTCAAAGTCATTAGAGTAATCCCTGCCCTGGGGAGCCCATGCTCATTTCCTCTGCCCAGAGCCCACTGAATGAGATGTACATTCACATCCGACATGCTACAGCACACATTAAATTTAAGACTACTCACTGCCAATTTTTTTTTTTTTTTTTAACCCATTTCCTGTATTTCACCACTGTCTTAGAGTTACACTCGCAGCATACTTGTTTTTGTTACGCAAGTTTGTTTCTGAGGAAACTAAATCTAATTATTTTAAGGCAAAACAACTTTCAGTGTAAGTGCTTTTTTTGAGTATGTAAAAACTATAATATTAGTAGAAATGTTTACATGGATATATTTAGGTTAAAATACACAGAAAGTGTTTATGTACACAGCTCAACTTCTACCTTAAAGAGTGTAGAACGGGGCAGGCGTGGCACTTGGCCGATGCCTGGCAGCTTTAGTTTCATGCTGCCAAACATTTAGCTTTTTTTTTTTTCAGCCCACATAGCTGAAAAGAACGTGGAAACAAGGCTGGTAAAAAATAAGGCAGCATTTGTACAAGTTTAACATTCACAGCAGTGTAATGGAGATTGTCCGGTAATGTTCGTGGCGAATGGGATGATCACAGAGGGCACTTAGTTATTTTCAAAGCCACATTGTGCGAGGGTTACATTGTGGGTGTTGCAAAGACACAACAAAACAAGTCGTGAATCAAAGTGGGTGTGTTAAACTGGGTGTCAGTCCTGAGTTTACACTTTAATTATGGTTCGAAAAAAAACAGATCTATTATAGAGAAAAGTCGAAGCAGTTTAAATGTTTGTTTAATGTTTTAATGTTGTTCTATTTGCTAGTTACTTTATTTAAACAAAGAAGTCTGACAAAAACAGAACAATTACTTCAACTGCCTCACAACCATTTACGATAAACAAGTTATTTTATGATATCGTGGAAATAAAGTGTTAACAGTATAGTCAGGTGTCTCCACACAACCAGGTGGCAGCCACATCTGCAAACAGTCTGTCGAGATTCTCAGCAGGCACAGGGTCAAAAAGACTCCTCTCACTTTACAGCGTGGATCAGAAGTAGAGCACAGACACTGGCTTGTTCAGAATGAAACGGACATCAGGGATCAATTTAGATGCTTATTTTATCAGAGTGGGTTTCGCTCTTTCTATACATTCTTTTCTTTCTCTGTGGCAGAAAGTCACTGCGTGCTTCAAACAGACATTAGGCGAGCGCGTGTGGTGTCATTAGAGAGTTGTCCTTGAAAGACTGGCTGCAGGTTATGTTGGTAATGAGGTGGTCGGGACTTGCTAGGGTAATTTTATATGTCTGTAAATGGACCCAAACCATGAGCCTGTGACTTAAATAAATGCAACACCATCCTCAGCAGTCCCATTGCACACAAGGTGACAGAGATGAAGGAATGGGGATTAGTCTTTCAAAATGTTTTCACATTTCTTACAATAATAATAATCCACGAAGAACATACTGTAAAGAAGTTAAATAGTTTCCACCTTTGTAACTTTTCAAGCATTCTTTTCATTAAAAAATGAGCTGCAGCAGATACATTAAGGATTTAGTGAGAATCAGAATAAATATTCAGATTTTTTCTTTTTTGCATGAACCTAAGAACCCACAATGTCCTCAACCCCCAAATGTGACATGAATGAAAATTATTATTAAAGATATTTTCATACTTTTCTAACAAGTGATGTGCACGAACATGTCTGCTGTTGAGTATCTTTTATTCTGGAGCCAACTTTCTCTTTTTTTTCGACACAAACCCGCTTTTTCACTGCAGCTTTCTCATCAAAACCAACATATATCACCCTGATGAAAGCTTAAACTCTGTGATTCAGATGCTGAGACTTTTTTTCCTGCTGCAGTACTAATATCATCGTGCTGCATCACCTCTGTTTTCCTGCACGTCTATATACTCTGTGCAACTGAGTTATGTGGCATTTATTTTAAAATCCAGTGATTTAAAATTTCCTTCACTGCAGTGCACGGCCAAAGTATTTCTGAAACAGATTTTTTTCCTGTAGCGTTTTAAAGGAACCCTGCTTCCCATTTGAGCACTTTTTTCACTTGTGTGGCAACATTTACAGGCAATATGAAAAGGTCTGTGTGGACCTGCCCAGAACAACATAAGGACTTGTGAGTGTTCTGAAGGGGGTTCTTAGGAAAATGTCCCTTATGAGGTGGTATCAGGCAAATAGTGTTTCTCTGCTCAAAAATAACAATTAATTATGTACTTCAATGAAATAAGCCTGAATAAAGGGCCGGGCACGACACTATTTTGCTTTTTCTTGAATCGGCAAACCGTACGCTTAGATATTTTATTTTTTGTCTCTTGTGGATACAATGTTTTGATGCATGGGTTCTGCCTGTGGAATCTATTTGCATGCAAATTTTTACATTTCCTTCCGCATCAAACGCTTACTATGATACATGTACTGTATTTCAGCAGACAGACAAGGTGAGAGTGAATCTCAGTCGGAATGGATCTACTTGTTTCTCTGTGATTGTTTGCGTGTGTGTGTGTGTGTGTGTGTGCGTCTGACAGGATGAGAGTGGCACAATAGAAGAAACAGAAAAGCAAAAAGGAGAAAGTTCCATGTGTATTTAATTTCATACTCATTTATCCATCCTGATGTGCTTTGTCTGATCTCATTTGCTCTTTTAGGTCATCGAGAAAATTCCTCCATCTGTGATTTCAAGCCCCACTCCTCTGTGCCCTTGGCTTCCTGAGGTAAAACACTTCTTACTTGATCTCTTTAAGCTTTTTTTGTTTTGTTTCTCCCTGTAATTTCTACTTCATAGCAGCGGGTGAAGTTAGATTTGTAAAACAAAGCTGTACATATAAAATCAAGTAC